TCTCATCTGACAATATAACCTGGTTCCAGAACTCTAAACGTTTATTAATGTAACGCTTAGCAAACTCCACTCTTAGCTTTCGATTTTTCATATTTATCCTTGGCTTTTAGCAGGTCTTCTTCCTCTATATTCTAATCGCTTAATGTGGTATCGAAGAGTTTCCGGATGGATCTTATGCCATGTATTGGATTCCAGTTCAGAAACGATGTATGGAGCACTTACAAAGGGAATTTTTTTAACTTTTTGATAAATGAAATTCTGATCTCGTTGAGTTAACTTGGCAGTACCTCCCGATCTTGACTTATTTTCCACGGAACCAGTAGATTTATATTTTTTCACAATGTACTGAACTGTAATATGTGTTTTTTGAACAATTTTACCTATCTCCTTATATTATTTTCCTTCTATAAAATGATGGATGATGACTTTTTTAAGTCACCATCTATTTCTTCAGTTTTTCTAGGCATTTTAAGGTAAACTTGAATTATTTTGAAAACAGAACTAGGAGCTCAACCTAATACTAATATACCGGCGAAAACAATAAACAATTTAATATCTACAGAGTGAAGAAATTGATAAAACGTTGCTGTACGAATACTTATTTTAGGGATAATGCAAACATTTTTCGTTTTTTTTATTTTACATTTTTAATAACAATGTTAATTAATGATTGCAAGAATAGTCTTGAAATGTAGATTTTAATTTGCTAGTTACTTCTTGTTTCTGTTTACTGAACGCGGACTTCCAGAACATAATGCAACTGTACGAATACTTTTTTGGTCTACTGTACATACACATCTCGCTCTGAATCTGTTATTTATTTATTTCTTACCAGTTTTACGCGATGGCAAAAACGAAACGAACGCAAACTCGTTTTTATCGAATCTTAATGAATTATAAACTAACATTTTATATACGCAGAGTTTTAAACGTGACACCCTGTATATGCAAGCGGAACTTATATACACAGTGAGACATGTTAAAATACACTGCGAGTCTGGAAATTGCACTAGATTTTAGGGACTTTTTATTTGTAATTAAGTAGTTGGAAATTTTAGGTAGATAATTCTCATTTCGAATCTCCCTACACTTTAAACACCCTATATAACAAATTCGCTAGATTTAGGGAGCAACCTCAATATCGAACCACCCTGTATAACTCGTTATATACAAGGTGAACTATTTATTTGTTTAAAAAAAAATTTAATTATCGCCGAAATTATCGCTGAAAAAGTTGGCAACATTTGGCAAACTTTTTATTTGTAATTTTACGAAAAAAGTTATTTTTTATAAAAAGTTCTGCATGGCCGATAAAGTAAAACGCAAATGTCAGATGTCACTTTTTTTAAATCGTATACGAGGTTTGTCAAAAAATATGAATTTGATACAAGAGTAATGTACCTTAATTTTTTACAATATCGAAAACTTTGATTATGAAAAGTTGTTCGAAATAGAAACATGTTTTAATATGAATTTTTGCTACTTCTTGAAGTACAATTACTGACGTTTTCAATTTTGGTTACATTAATTACAATTACATTTCAATTTCAATACACACTAACTAGATGTAATGTATTATTTATTTTTCGAAAGATTTTACTAGACTGACTTTCGGTAAGAGAAATGTCATTGTCAGAGCCACCTAGATTTTAAATTATTTCATTTATTTTCGTGTATTACAGTAGAAAATACATTATTCTGTTGGGTATTATTTATTTGTTACTGATTTAAATTCATTGCTAAAACATTTCAAAACAACAAGTGAACATTTGAGTTTCATAACTAAAAGTCACAAAATTTAAGTTGAATTGGAAGTGGTCAAAATTGGTTGCAATTTGTGGACACCCTGTACATCTAACGTCAAATGTAAATACCTAACTATTATTATTTTCACAAGCAGAGATTTTCAGCAAAGAACAACATTTTTTCGTAAAAAAAACTTACAATAAAAAAATTGTCCCATATATCGCCAACTTTTTCAGACACACTGTATACATATATACAGAGTGATCGTAAAATTTAATCGACCCGTCTGCGACGGGATGCCTTATTAGCGCGCGCCCGTCCGAAATTCGATTATACAGTGTGAATAATGAAAGTAATTAAACCGCCCGGACTAATTATAACCGAAACGCCGGTGCATCGAACCAAAAAAAAAAAAATCCAATTTAAATCTCTCTCGCTCTCTCGCCCCCGTATATACATATATACACATATCGATCGATTAATCAATAATTACTAAACAGAAGCCGTGGCGGATTCTTCGCGGGGCCCCCTATCAGATCCCATCGGGACACAATACACAAGAAGCCGGTAGAGAAGAATAAGAGAATACATACATAAAGAAGAAGAACAAAAAAAATCCACAACTCCGAGCGAGGCGAAGAAAACGACGAAAAAAGACCGAAAAGAAAAAGAAAGAACGATGCCACGGCTTGCTTGTTATTCGATCGGCGAATTTGGCACCATCGAAAAGGGTATTTTAACGGTTGATTAACCGTTGAAAAACCCATCGCGATATGTACCTATTAAAAGAGCCAATTTTTTGCTTTTTTTGCTTTCTTCGTTAATAATTATGTCCCGGATAAAGATGAGGTTCTTACGAATTGTGGGGGGATTAGGGGATTAAGGGGTGATAAGGGAAGTAAGGGGGAATTAGGGGATTAAGGGGTAATAAGGGGAGATAAGGGGATTAAGGAGAGATAAGGGGATTAAGGGGAGATACGGGGATTAAGGGGAGATCAGGGGATTAAGGGGAGATCAGGGGATTAAGGGGAGATCAGGGGATTAAGGGGAGATCAGGGGATTAAGAGGAGATCAGGGGATTAAGGGGAGATCAGGGGATTAAGAGGCAGATAAGTGGATCAATGAGGTTAGAAGGGATCTTCTCGAAGCCGTATAATCTTCATTATAAAACAAGTAGAGTGAATTGAAATCGTTAGCTATAGGTATACCTGTTGTACATACTAATTGGGCGATTGGTTACTGTAAATCGCGAATTAATAAAATCCTAATTATCATGACTTCCTGCTGGGAATATGCCCGGCAGGAAGCGGATGGGGCATTCGGTTCGTATTATAAACTCGTGCCTCACTTTTCTATTAGTCGCATTCGACTATTAATCGGTACGTGAACGAAATTCGTAAATTGTTATATTTTTTTACGGGAATTTTAATAAACCGGCGAAAGTCCTACGGGTTACTAATTCGTATATACGATCGATTAATCGATCGCTAAATGGCGGTTTTTCGATTCGGATTCGATGCGATTAAATAAGGTCGATGACTAAAGAGGAAAAAAATTAAATAAAATAAAACGAAAAAAATCCGCCGATCGGCCATCGTCCGAGACGAGAAAGAGCCTTTTTTGATGTTCGATTGATCGGGATTCGGCAGCTATTAAATGAGAAACGCGCGTATATCGGCTATACAGTCGAGGAGCTCTCGCAACAACACGAAATTCTCTACAAAACCAATTTATAGGACCATTCTAAAGATATTATAGATCAACTATAGGACATACAGGTCCACTTGCTTAAGTTAACCCCCATAGAACCGATACAGGACCACTACAGGACCATTCTAAGACCACTACAAGAACAATGCGGCACCATCATAGGTCGATTATGAAATCTTCTAACCAATATAGGACCCCCATAGGACCATTATAAGACCATCCTAGAACCATCTAATCAATGTAGAACCAATGCGAGACCATCATAGATCGATTATAGAACCTTCTAACCAAAATAAGACCACCATAAGACCAATATAAGACCATCCTAGAACCATCTAATCAATGTAGAACCAATGCGAGACCACCATAGGTCGATTATAGGACCATTTTAGAATCTTCTAACCAATATAGAACCCCCATAGGACCATTATAAGACCATCCTAGAACCATCTAATCAATGTAGAGCGAATGCGAGACCATCGTAGGTCGATTATAGAACCTTCTAACCAAGATAAGACCACCACAGGACCATTATAATACCATCCTAGAAACACCTAATCAATGTTAAATCAATGCGAGACCATCATAGGTCGATTATAGGACTATTTTATTACCTTCTAACCAACATAGGACCACCTAATCAATATAGAACCGATATAGGACCAACAAAGGACCTTTGTAAGACCTTCATAGAACCATCTAATCAACGTAGAACCAATGCGAGACCATCATAGGTCGATTATAGGACCATTTTAGAACCTTCTAACCAATATAGGATCACCTAATCAATATAAAACCGATATAGAACCAACAAAGGACCATTGTAAGACCATCCTAGAACGATCTAATCAACGTAAAACCAATGCGAGACCATCATAGGTCGATGATAGGACCATTTTATTATCTTCTAACCAATATAGAACCACCTAATCAACATTGAACCGATATAGGACCAACAAAGGACCATTGTAAGACCATCCTAGAACCATCTAATCAACGTAGAACCAAAGTGGGGTCTATTATAGGACCATCTAATCAATATAGGAACATTATAAGACCATTCTAGAAGCACCATAGAACCGATATTAGTAGAATATATCTCGAAATCTCAAAAACTGCAAGAGCTCTAAACAAGAATCAAAAAAAAAAATCTTGAAATTTCAACACTCTGTAGATCGTTAACGAGGCGTTTGTGGACCCACCTTTATATGAACTTTTGTTCGTAAAATAAGCCAAGGAATCAGCCCCTTTCGGATGTTCGCGATGTTTAAGAACATCCTGTATAAGACCATGCGCTGAAATAACCATCAGCCCGTGTACTAAACAACTGACCTTATTGATATCTATCATTGATACGAGCAAAAATCCGGTCCGTCCACCCGGAGGTATATAGTAGAATCATTACGTTTCGTGTATAACTACCTCTACAGTGCATTTCTTTAATGACCCCCTCTTTTATTTTTTGAACGGATCAACTTAGAAAATTGAAATTTGGGATAATGAAACTAATGCATGATTACTATATTTTGGAGTAAAATTGACAGATGAAAATTTCAAGATGGCCGACTGGGCGCCATCTTGGGAAATAAATTTAAATGGAAAGGGGGTCTTGTGATACATCATTTTGAAGCTCCTGACAAATACTCTACAACTCTGGAATATAAAATCAATATCTGCACCCATTTCAAAATGGCGGAACATTTAATAATTACCTGAATACAAACAAATAAATATCAATTTTTCTAGAAATATTTGTTTTTCTATGGCAAACAGCAATCCCAGCAAACCGATAAGGTTTGACAGGTTATTTTTGGTTAAAAAAATTCCAAAAAATTTAAGTACGACAACGAACATAAATTGTTTAGTCAAAATATGCTCATTTAGTTTTTGGTTTTTCTAGTGTTCAAAATATTCTCTTTAGTTTTCGGTTTTCCTAGTGTTCAAAATATTTTCATTTAGTTTTCGGTTGTTTAGTTCTCATTGTAGTTAGGTAGCACGTGAACTAACTCTAAAATGGTCAATTCTCGTCCATTGGAAGATGGAGCACCACCACATTACTCCAGACAAGTAATGAACTATTCGGATGCTATTTTCCCTGGTCGTTGGATTGGTCGTCGAGGTCCTACGGAATGGCCAACCCGCTCGCCAGATTTGACACCTTTAGACTTTTTTTTATGGGGCTATTTGAGCAAAATGTGTACGAAACTAAACCTGCTTCAATATTGGATATACGAGAAATAATTACAGATATTTGTAAAAATATCGACGTTACTATGTTCGAAAATGTTCGGTTAGGCATTTTTTCGCCCAGTCGCCATCTTGAAATTTTCATCTGTCAATTTTACTCCAAAATATAGTAATCATGCATTAGTTTTGTTATCCTAAATTTCAATTTTCTAAGTTGATCCGTTCAAAAATAAAATTGGGGGGGGGGGGACATTAAAGAAATGCACTGTATACGGGCGTCGAGAGAGAACGCTCCGAGTATTGGAAAAAGGCGTTAAAGGAAGCGGATTTTTCGCGAAGATGTAGATGTACCGGTACGTCACAAGATCGCGTGCGTGCGCGCCCCGTCGTAAATTCGCTCTGTTATAACGTTTCCATTTTATATTCCGCGGCTACCTGCGAGAGGTAATTTCGTACGAACGTTGCCATAAATCCCGATGAAAATTTCGCGCGTCTAATAAATATACATCGTTCGGTCGAGGCGGGCCCGAGGCGATATGTGAGTTCGTTCTTCTTCGCGTTGAGTAGAAGTAGAAGTATAGAGGGAAAGGAGATGTGCTCTGGGAGATCTTCTAATACAACATATAGCCTTCTGTTTAGTGGTTTTAGAAGGCGCCCAACCCATGCGGGTTATTTGCAAGCGCGTGAGAATTCTTCGGAATTGAAATTGCGGCCAATTAGAACGAGAATTGTTTGATATTTCAACGATAAATATCGCACATTAATTTAGGAATGAATCGCACAGACTATTAAATGATTCGCTCGAATAGTACCCTAATCGCCACGACTATTAAATTTGTCCCTCAAACAGTCGCCTAATCGGTCCTACTATTAAATTTGTCCCTCGAATAGTACCCTAATCGCCCCGACTATTAAAGCGATCCCTCGAATAGTCGCCTAATCGCTCGGACTATTAAATTTGTCCCTCAAATAGTCGCCTAATCGCCCCTACTATTAAATTTGTCCCTCAAACAGTCGCCTAATCGCCCATACTATTAAATTTGTCCCTCAAACAGTCGCCTAATCGCCCCTACTATTAAATTTGTCCCTCAAACAGTCGCCTAATCGCCCCTACTATTAAATTTGTCCCTCAAACAGTCGCCTAATCGCCCTTACTATTAAATTTGTCCCTCAAACAGTCGCCTAATCGCCCATACTATTAAATTTGTCCCTCAAACAGTCGCCTAATCGGTCCTACTATTAAATTTGTCCCTCGAATAGTACCCTAATCGCCCCGACTATTAAAGCGATCCCTCGAATAGTCGCCTAATCGCTCGGACTATTAAATTTGTCCCTCAAATAGTCGCCTAATCGCCCCTACTATTAAATTTGTCCCTCAAACAGTCGCCTAATCGCCCATACTATTAAATTTGTCCCTCAAACAGTCGCCTAATTGCCCCTACTATTAAATTTGTCCCTCAAACAGTCGCCTAATCGCCCCTACTATTAAATTTGTCCCTCAAACAGTCGCCTAATCGCCCCTACTATTAAATTTGTCCCTCAAACAGTCGCCTAATCGCCCCTACTATTAAATTTGTCCCTCGAATAGTCGCCTAATCGATCCTACTATTAAATTTGTCCCTCAAACAGTCGCCTAATCGCCCTCACTATTAAATTTGTCCCTCAAACAGTCGCCTAATCGCCCCTACTATTAAATTTGTCCCTCGAATAGTAGCCTAATTGCCCCTACTATTAAATTTGTTCCTCAAATAGTCGCCTAATCGCCCCTACTATTAAATTTGTCCCTTAAACAGTCGCCTAATCGCTCTCACTATTAAATTTGTCCCTTAAACAGTCGCCTAATCGCCCTCACTATTAAATTAGTTTCATATGTAACTAATAGTACGGGAAAATTAGAGAAAAAAATCGATAATGTACGAAAAAAAAAACGGCGTATTAACGCCGATAAATTCCATCATGTAAACGTTTTTTTTTTATTTTCGAATTAAAAATTACCTACCCGAAGGAAAGACACGTATTTCTTTTCTTTTTCTTTTCTTTCTTTTCCGTTCCATCGCCACGGGCCCACCCAAGTTCATATACGAAACGAGAAACAATCATCCAAAGTTCGATATAACGAATAATTATAAGCTATTACGTTACTACCAATTTGTGGAAATCACGAGGCCTTAATGCGACCCTGCCGGGGGAGGCCTTATTGGGAACCGTCGAAAGATGCACAGGACCGGACTCGACTGGATTTTTATGTTTTTTTTTTGCTAAATTTCCACGTGTTTTTTAGTAGAGGAGTTTTCTTATCTATTCTTATAACAAATAGTAGTTTAATGGAGGAGATTGGCGTGTACACGCTCGAAATAAGTGGTATTATTTCGCGCGAGATAAGGAAAATTTTCTCGGTCGATTCGAGCGCGAGTTTGCGTCCGTTTTTCGAGCCTCTTTCGATGGGAAACGAAAAATGCCGGTGTAAATCCCGATGCGAAATGAATAATTCACGTCTCGTTCGATTTTTAAATCGGATTTCTGGTTGTAAATACGCGTGTGAGAAGAGTCGCACGGTAATGTATAAATTCCACCAAATTCAAAGTCGAATTAATTAAAATTAGCGACTAATCGCCAGGACTAATAAATTAGTTTTTTTTATCGAATTAATTGCCTAATCGCCGCGACTATAAATTTCCTATACAGGGTGTTGATTAATAAGTGCGACAAACTTTAGGGGGTGATTTTGCATGAAAAAATAATGATATTTAAAAATAAGATAGAGGGTGTTAAAGTTTCTTCATTACTAGTGTAAGATGTTTTATTTTTTTACTCGAAAACAGCGGCTCGTACGGAAAAAACACAAGGGAGTTTTTTTGTCACAAATTGAACGAGGAATTCATTCATAATTAAATTTTCAATAAAAACGCCTCAGTGGCGTGCCAATATTATTTTTTTCTTTAATAAAATGTTATTACTACCCGTATGCGCGTCAATGATGAACATAAAATTTTTAATTTTATGTCAAAAAATGGATAATAGTTACCTCTCAAAACCCACCAAATTTCGTTTGAATATCTCGTCTGGTTTCGGAGAAATAAATAAATCATCGGTTTTTAAGAAGAAACTTTAACACCCTGTATCTCGAAAACGAAGCATTTGCTAAGATACATTTATATAGCAAAATATCATTATTTTTTCATGCAGAATCACCTCCTAAAATTTATCGCACTTATTAATGAACACCTTGTATAATACTGTTTGAATATAGTACGGGAAAATTTCTTAATTGTTCAACCAGCGCGTCCAGCACCCCCATATCGCACAAACAAGAAAATACAAAAAAAAAACAAAACCAACAAAAAAATATAATATAAAAAAAAATCGTACCTAATGAAATGAGTCTAATAAAAAAAAAATAATAATAATAATAGCCCCGGCCAGGCCACCCTACCGTTGGGGATGGTTGTGCATGTGCGAATGGGGATGCTGCGGATGCCCGTAGCCCTGATGGGGCGGCGGCAACGGACTCGGACACGCCTGCGCGTACCCGCCGTGCTGCGGCGAACCGCCCAAACCCAAATGGGTCTGTTCCAAATGGGAATAGTGCCCTTGGGCGGCGAGCGAATGGGGGTGCGGGTGCGGCGAGTGCGTGTGGGGCGAACCGTACACCATTTGCCTTACTTTGGAATCGTCGTCGGAGATGTTGTAGGTCAGCTCCGTCTCCTCGAAGCCGGTGGCGGACATCCGTTGATCGCCGCCCGCCGAACCGGCCGGCGGGTCCGGCGAATTCAGGCACGTCTGGATCAACGCCTTGCCTGGAACAAAACCGAATGCATCTAACGTTAAAAGGACCCTGTACACGTTGGACCATGCGTGGTCCTGCATGGACCGTTAGTTGGTCCTACATGAACCTGCATGGACCATTAATTGGCCCTGCATTGACCTACATAAACCTGCATGGATCATTAGTTGGCCCTGCATGGACCATTAATTGGCCCTGCATGGACCTACATGAACCTGCATGGATCATTAGTTGGTCCTGCATGGACCTGCATGTACCAATAGTTGGTTCAAAACGAGTACTGGAGGCATTATAGGAAACTTTGGCGGTTCATGTTGGTGTTAAAAGGCCATCAAGTACTGCTAAATTGGCTCTTTAGGGTCATGTGTTCCAACGTATAAGAACCAGAAAAGTTGCAATAGTACAGCAATAGTACAAACACAAATTTAATCTAGTAAACGTGCAATACACATTCCTATAACATCATACATACATTCTAAAAGGTATCTAAAGTTAGCTCGACAAGAGCTCTTCCTTCTCATCGCTAATTAAGTCTGTTATGTTAGTACATTCTGCTCTACATGTGTATGATAATATAAATAATAGGAACCATCGGTGATGCGATATTAATGCTCGTAGATTCGCTCGTTTTATTGAGACATTTCGAACGGGACGTGTTAACTTAACCCGGCGATTAAATAAGTCACACGACTACACTGCGATACTAACGTATTTATTATGAATTTATATGAATATTCAAGCGATTTGGCTTCGCATTCGCGCCGGACAAATCGGAAGTGAACTAGATGAGATTTCGCCGCGATAATTTATACGTTTTACCTGTTATATCTTCGAGTAGTTTTATCGCGAAACGTAAAAATAATATACCGTTATGTAGAGGACACCGCGGAAGATTCGCTTGTGTAGTGGAGTTGTAAATAATATAAATAGACGTGCGACCAGCGGAGACTCGATTTTTATTAACGATAAACGTGGAATTTTATTGAATTGAAGATACCAGCAACTAATCGCCCGGACTATATAGAATTGTATCTAAAATAAACACTTAATCGCCCTGACTATGAAACTATAAATAGCGATTTAATCGCCCACACTATAATAGTAAGGGCGATTGTGGTGTAAAAAATTCCGAATCCGTCCCTGCGCCTGTTCGAAGGAAAAAAATTCGAAATGAAGACTTTAAACTAGCGAGTATCGCTCGGGATGAAATTCATAATGCGCGTACGTTGAGCGTAATTTATCTAGATTTGCGATAGGCAACGCAGAGAACTGGTAATGAGATAAATAGAGCGAGACTAAGTAATTCGCGCGCGTTTATCCACGAAAGCCACAAATGCGATATTATTATTATAAACGTTCCGAAATGCTTCCTTTATAGTAAAGGGATTAAAGGTCGTTTTTGCAGAAAAAAAATTACAAAAATCAGCTGAATAAACGGTTAGATAAATCGAAGCAACCGTAGAAAGGTTAGTAACTTCCATAGGAACGTTGCTAGAATTGCTGGGAATGTTGGTAGAATCCCTAGATAGGTAATAGAAATCATGGATATGTTAGTAGAATCTCTAGAAATGTAATAGATTTCCTGGAAAGGTTAGTAGAATCTCTAGAAAGGTAATAGATTTCCTGGAAAGGTTAGTAGAACCTCCAGATTGATTAGTGGCATTCAGATTAGAGTAGAATCCCCAAAATGAATAGTGTCATTTACGAAAATGTCAGTAGAATCCCTAGTAAGACCACTAGACTCCCTAAAAAGATCACTAGAATCCCTAAAAGGGTCACTAGAACTCCTAGAAAGGTTAGTAAACCCCCTAAAAATGTCACTAGAAAGGTTCGTAGAATCCCCAGAATGACCAGTTCCCGGAAACACTAGTAGACTCCCTAAAAAGGATAGTAGATCAGTCGATTCGCTTAGAAAGGTTAGTAGAATTCCTGAAAAGGTCACTAGAACCTCTAGAAAGCTTAATAAAATCCCCAGAATTACTAGTAGCATTCACGAAAAAGTTAATTAAAACCCCTAAAAATGTCACTAGAAGAGTTAGTAGAATCCCAAAAATAGACCAGTTCCTCGAAACGCTAGTAGACTCACTAAAAAGGATAGTAGATCTGTCGATTCGCTTAGAAAGGTTAGTAGAATTCCTGAAAAGGTCACTAGAACCTCTAGAAAGCTTAATAAAATCCCCAGAATTACTAGTAGCATTCACGAAAAAGTTAATTAAAACCCCTAAAAATGTCACTAAAAGGGTTAGTAGAATCCCAAAAATAGACCAGTTCCTGGAAACGCTAGTAGACTCACTAGTAAGGTGAGTAGAATAGTTGATTCACTTGAAAAGGTTAGTAGAATAGTTAATTCGCTTAGAAAGGTTAGTAGAATTCACGGAAAGGTTAGTAGATCGAGTTTACCATATAGGAGAATCCTCACCTGCTTCGCTGGTGATCATCGGTTGTAATTTTCTAGTAGCGAACGTGTAAACGTGGCCCGTTTCCGATGCTACCAACAGCATCACTTGTGTACCGGTCAACGTTGATAATTCGTAAGCCTGGAACAAAACAAAAAAAAATGCTTAATCAAAATACCGCTGGAACGACGAATTTAACCATTCAAAATAGGCCAATAAGAGCGCTCGTTGAGCAGTGACGTAATCGAATCCAACCAATCGCAGTGCTCGATTTGCAACATGTTTTGTTTTTACTAGCCAATGAGAGCTGACTAACAATCACAGCCGACTTATTAAAACTAATAGCAGATTCGAACGTTTAATTGTTTTTTAGATTTAATTGTCGTTTGGAATATATATACGAACGAAAAAAAGAAGAAGAAGAAGAAAAAAAACGTGGGGAATTAATCGATGGACGGGCATCGTAAAACTCCTCGTCTAATTTCACATCCAATTAACGAAATAAATCAATGAACGAGAGAAGTCCATCTCTTCTATTTTATTTTATCTCCGTGCGATAGATCACCTTCATGGCGCGACAACGCTTCCTGTCCCGCTTAAACTATCACCTATTAAACGGTTTGTGTGTGTGTGTGTGTTTTTTTTCTCTACTATAGTCTACTCCACCATTTTCGTTCCGAATGGCCGATAGAATAGTCGAAAGACGACCGCGAGAGCGATAAATCCCATTTGCTTTTTAATTGGTGTTTCGTTATCTATTCGATTTAATTGCCCGCACGGCGGGTGTTTTATTTACTAATTTCCAGTGACGTGTCGAGGTGGGGGGGGAGGTATAACAAGATAATAAAATATTGATTGATATTCAAAACGTTAATGAAATAAACTTTGAATCCCTAGAAATGTTAGTAAAATTTCTAGAGAAGTTAGTAGAATCCTTAGAAAAGTTAGCAGAATCCCTAGAAAGGTTAGTAGAATCTTTAGAAAAGTTAGTGGAATCCCTAGAAAGGTTAGTAGAACCTCTAGAAATGTCAATGTAATCCCTAGAAAAGTTAGCAAAATTCCTGGAAAGTTAGTAAAATTCCTAGAAAAGTTAGTGGAATCCCTAGAAAAGTTTGTTGAATCGCTAGAAAAGTTAGTATAATCACTAAAAAGGTTAGTTGATTCTTTGGAAAGGTTAGAAGAAACACTAGAAATGATCCTTAGTTTAATCCCTAGAAAGGTTAATGGAATTCCTTAGAAATTTTAAGAAATGTTAGCTAAATCACTAAATAGGTTAGTTAAATCCCTAGAAATGATAGCCAAATCCATAAAAAGGTTAGTTAAATCTCTATAGAAGTTGAATCTCTAGAAATGTTAGTTAAATTCCTACAAAGGTTAGTGGAATCCCTTAGAAATGTCAGTTAAATCACTAGAAAGATTACTTAAATTTCTAGAAAGGTTAATAGAATCTCTAAAGAAATGTTAATTGAACCCCTAGAAAAGTTCATATAATCGCTAAAAAGATTAGTTGAATCTTTAGAAAGGTTAGTGGAATCTCCAGAAGTGTTAGCTAATTCCCTAAAAAGGTTAGTAGAATTCCTAGAAATGTTAGTTGAATCTTTAGAAAGGTTTGTGGAATCCCTTAGAAACGTTAGTTATATCACTAGAAAGGTTAGTTGAATCTCTAGAAATGGTAGTTGAATGACTAAAATGGTTAGTTGAATCTTTAGACAGGTTAATAGAATCGCTAGAAATGATAGTTAAATCACTGAAAACGTTAGATAAATCTCTATAGAAATGTTACTTGAATATCTAGGAAAATTAGTGTTAGTATAACCACTAAAAAGGTTAGTAGAATTCCAGAAAATATTAATAGAATCCCTAGAAAAGTCCTAACTTAATAGCCCGTTCGCCACATCTAGAAGGCTTCACGAATTAGATTTTATTGCTATCTCCTGATTAGCGAACGGACTATAAATAATCGCATTATAGCGTGTAACTACTGCACTGGTGATGTTCCTTTGGCGAAATTTAATCTTTTTAGAGTCGAAAGATGGCGTATAATAAATAAAGGACTGGCCACCATTAAATCTCCGGGACTGATTATCTGTAACTTCGTTATATTTAATGAACATATCAATACTGCAAAGGATTGGAAACTCATGAGAGTAAAAAAATTTCACACACACACCGCGATAAATAAATATTCTCTGGAAATATTCCGGGTATTTACGAGTAAATTTTTTTCTTCTTCTTCTTTTTTTTTCGTACAGATTATAAACGCGCGACCGGTATCCCGAGCAAGAGATATTAATAATGATATTTATGTAATTATATAAATTAAAATATTATTCGTAATGATATCTGGATGATAAATAAACGTTAAATGGTTTTTTTTTCCAGTTTTTCGATCCGCTGGCAATTTTCCCAAACTGGTTTCGCTCTTGCGCTATTTCGAAATTACGAAATAATACGAATTACATTTACACTGATATCAACTAATAATTACTATTAAAAAATATAATTTTTGTTAAATTTAATGATAATCTCCCTTACTATATTGCTTTAGTTAATAGTCCGGGCGATTAAAGCGCTATTTTAGAGTATAATTATATAGTCAGGGCGATTAGTAGCGACTAAAAAAATAACCTTATTCAATTCGATTTATTACAACCTAAGTAGCGATGAAAATGCATTTATACGAACGAATAAACATTTTAAATTCATAATTCAAGATGGATTAAAGAAGAGAGTCAAAGAAAATACCGGAATGGCGAGTTCTTTTAGCGACAAAAGTCGCCTTTATTATACCATACTATATGATTATATCGGATCCGATGCGATTGTAAATCACTCGATTATTGCCCGGTTTTATAAAAGAGCGATAAAATTAGACCTTAATAGGTGTTTAATAATTTTTAATTGAAAAATTAACTCGACACAGCGACAGCTTTATGTCGCTTACGAAATTGATATAGCTCGTGCATAAATTTCGATTAGAATAACGAATGCATTTTGTATTTTATTTATATAGTTTATCTACTATGTTTCGCTCTATTTGCTTTGGAATTCTTTCATAACTATCGCAGGGATTCTACTAATAAATCAAGGATTCTACTTACTATTTCATAAACTAGGAATTCTTAGCATTTCTGTGGATTATAGTGACATTTATAGAGAATCTATGGTACTTAAAATTGCTAGAAATCTTTCATAATTATTGGGGATTCCACCAACTATTTCATAAACTAGAAATTTTAACCATTTCTGTTGATTATAGTAACATTTATTTTGTAGTATCTACTTAAAATTGATACCTTTATAATTAGAAATCTTTCATAATTATTGGTGATTCTTACTTCCCATTTCACTAGGATTTCTAATCATTTCTAGGGGTTGTAGGAGAGTAGAAAATCTTTCATAATTATCGGAGGATTCTACTCATAAATCATGGATTTTACTTACTATCCATTTAACTGGAAATTTAAATAATTTCTGGGGATTCTAGTAAGTTTATTATAGAGATTCTACTATTAATTGTTATACCTATAAACAAACGGGAATTTTACCAGAGCTTCTACTAAAGTTTCTAAGTGTTTTCTACTCAAAAGAGGTATTCTACTACCCGTATAATTACAGCTATATAACAGAGTTTCAAGAGACTAACCTTATACTGGACATTCTCTCAACAACTGAGGTATTCTACTACATTTTTCACTAGGAATTCTACTAATTACCGTAGTTTCTAAGGATTCTACTATCCATTTCTACCAGAAACGCTACTAATTTGTTGCTTTTTTAAGAATTCTCTGTCACATAACAAGCAATAATTTTCACATCAAATCGTCTTAATTTTAACAATCTGGTACAATCACTTCCCCCTATATCATCATCGTTATTCCGATGAAGATATTTTGCATCATCGAGACATGCCCATCGGACATTGTTATCGTTCTACAATAAAAAAAACCATGTAACGTCGTTATTACTATTATTATTATCATTATTTTAACGTAATGACGGGTCGTTGGAACTGGTAATCGAGTAATAGCGCTCGAAACGAATTTAATTCTAACCGGTGTAGAGGCGATAATTGATAATTTTAACACCTATTTAGAGTTTATTTGTAGATATGCTAGATTTTCGAAAAGTCGTCGAAATTTCGATAATTTTATCCGCATTTATCCGGTGAAAAAAAATAATAATTATACAAACAATTCCGAGGCTCGTTATGATCCGCGCGAGAAGAATTAAAGTTAAAACACCAGAAAGATTAGTTAAATTCCTAGAAAGGTTAATAGAATCTCTAAAGAAATGTTAATTGAATCCCTAGAAAAGTTTATATAATCGCTAAAAAGATTAGTTGAATCTTTAGAAAGGTTAGTGGAATCCCCAGAAATGTTAGCTAATTCTCTAGAAATGTTAATAGAATTTCTAGAAATGTTAGTTGAATCTTTAGAAAGGTTTGTGGAATCCTTTAGAAACGTTAGTTAAATCACTAGAAAGGTTAGTTGAATCTCTAGAAATGGTAGTTGAATGACTAAAATGGTTAGTTGAAACCGGTGTAGAGGCGATAATTGATAATTTTAACACCTATTTAGAGTTTATTTGTAGATATGCTAGATTTTCGAAAAGTCGTCGAAATTTCGATAATTTTATCCGCATTTATCCGGTGAAAAAAAAAAATTATTATACAAACAATTCCGAGGCTCGTTATGATCCGCGCGAGAAGAATTACAGAAGAAGAGATGAAAAGGAAGCGAGAAAAGTTCTTTCGATTCGTAATTAGCATACGTTATAATAGCGTTTTCGAAAAATACAAAAGGTTTCGGGTGTGTGTGTGTGTGGATGAAGAGTAGAAGAAAAAAATATGCACCGTCATGCTGTACTAATGATTCCCGATATATTGTTGAAGTAATAAAATTATAATTATAAGCGTCGAGCGCCGACCGGATAATAGAAGATGTACGAGGGACGTGTCGAAAATATCTTTCTTTTCAAAGGTGCTTTATACAGGGTGTTAATTAATTGAGTGCTGATATAAACTGCTCCACAAAAGTTAAGGAAGTTCGTATATTTTGCGGTTATTTTAAAAGTTACAGACTTTTTGATCACTAAATTTTCAAATATGCGAAATTAAATGTTTTCTCTCATATCTGAGTGGATTTTTTGCCCCTTCCTCTACAATTCATACTAAATTTGGCGATCAAAAAACCTGCAACT